ATATATATATATATATAGACACACACACAGAGAGAATACACGTAAGAAGGAAAGAAAGAAGGAAAAAAAAATTAAATTCTTTTCTATATATTTATTCAAAGAATTCGGTGATATATTCAAAGACAATGTTTTGTGTTTATTTTACGCTATGAGTAACTTATTTTCATAGTAGGGCTAACAATGTAGTTGACTTGTGATCCTTTATTACTATGAGTTTAATACATTGAATTAATTGATTACTAATTTGATGATTATATGAGTCTCTTACGAATCGAGATGTGAGTTTGAGATTTAGACCATGTAGTAAAATTCGTAATTAATATAACATGTAGAGATATATATACTAATTATTGCGGTCATAATATAAATTCTTAAAACTAATGTTTCGTTTAACTAAAATTGATTCACGCAAAGATATGAAATTTAATTAGTTAAATAGGATCAATGAGAACTCGAGATGTGTAAATTGAATGCAATAGAAAAATTCGATCGAACATTATATTAGGTTATGAATCTTGAATCAAAAATTGAGGTGATTAATAGATGAAATTGTTATGCCTTGATATTTATCTCATATTTGAATTTTTAATTAACAATTGTTTGCAAAATTTTGATATTTTCAAGTAGTTAAAAAAAAAATCACAATTGTTATAATTCTTTACTTGCTTTTATCAAATAAGAGTTAGAAAAATTAAATTAAGTCCTGAAATATAGTCCACGTGGGAACGATATTTGGACTCAAAGGTCCATTATATTACTTGTTATGATATTGTATACTTACGATATTAAAAAATGCAACAAGAAATCAGGATCTGAGATTCATAAAGACATACCATCAATAGAGGTTTCTGGTATTCAAAAGAAGCAGAAACAGAAGAAGTCTAAATCATCTTCATCTCCTAAGTCGTCGTCTTCTTCTTCTTCTTCCTCTGTGGCATCACGAGTACCCAAGTCGAAATCCAAGTTTTTTGAACCAACAACTATTGAAGTGGCATAACATAATAGACTACTCCCCCATGCTTAAATTTTTTTGAGTCCTCTTTCAATCTTGGAATGTTCAATCATATAAGCCCATGAAATTAAAGTGACAAGGGATTTTGTACAAAATTAGTGTAAATGTAGTGGGAAGCCTTGCATTTGCAATAAGTTATAGAGGTCACTAAATGAGACTAAAGGAGAATAAAGATGTAAAGCATAAAACAATGTTCATCTTGATATTGATTAGAAGAAAAATTTTGCTGATGTGGAATATTGGATTGATAAGATACTGGGGATACATGTATTTGTTAGGAAAATGTGGGTCAAGTTTGGCTTGCAACGAAAATGAAATTGAGAAAATGCAGCTAAAAATGGACACAAATATTTAGGTGATTCACCCAATTTAAACTACGTCCAAGGGCAAGTATAAGAGGATTTCACTATAGTATGAGAATTACAAAAACACTTTCTAATTACAAGAAGATAACAACAATTAATCTCTCTTGTAATAGGAGAAACTAAGTAGAAAATATTTAGATGAAAACAATATTTTTTTCTCTCTATAATTTATCTTTCTACTCATTGTTTTCTCTCTACGGTTTGTTGCTACTGTAATGCAATGCATTGTTTTCTTTAACTTCATCTCGTATCTATAGTGACATCTATCATATTAATTTTGCTTAAAAAATATCAACAATAGCATCTGATTTTCTCTCATGAATTACGGCTGCAAATTGAGGAAATCTTCACCAAATTCAATTTTCTCAATTTAACATTTAATGGAAAGGTGGCCATAAAGAGAAAAATTTACATGCATTTGCCTAAGTCAACAATAGTTGCACATAATCACCATTGGTCAACAAAATGGCTTTAATAGCCAACATTTCTCCATCTTAAAGTCATTTTGTTGACCATTTCAATCCTTCTTACACTTGTCATGTCCATGCTGCTTACTGCTAGGGTGATGAAGAATCAAAACCATGTAAACTTGTCAATACTGATTTGCTTTGCTAACATATTTGCTAGGTTGTCATCTGTATGAATCTTTTGTATATCCACACTTCATTCTTCCAACTTTTCTCGAACAAAGTGATATTGAATTCTAATGCGCTTTGTTTTCTGGTGAAATGTTGGATTCTTTGCCAAATGCAAAGCTCTCTGACTATCACAAAATAGATTGATCTTATCTTGTTTGTATCCGAGCTCCTCCATTAACATTTGCAACCAAATTGCCTCTTTGTTAACTTGTGTAGCTGCTACATATTCTGCCCCTATTGTAGAAGTAGCCACAATATACTGCAATTTCAAAACCCAGTTTGCAGCTCCTCCAACAAGAGTAAACACATAACCTGTGGTGGATTTGCTTTTGTCAAGATCACCCACATAATCTAAATCAACATAGCCTTTGACGATAAAATCAGATCCTCCATAACATAATATATCATTTGAGGTACCCTTGATATATCTCGTGATCCTTTTTACAGTACTTCAATTCTTTTTCCAAGATTTGCCATGTATCGACTAACCACTCCAACTGTTTGTGCAATGTCTAGTCTTGTACACATCATAGCAAATATTAAGCTACCCACTGCTAATGCATAGGGTACTCGAGACATCTCCATCAGCTCTGCTTCATTGCTAGGACTCATACTTGAGGATAACTTGAAATTAATAGAAATGGGGGTAGAAGTTGGCTTACAAGCTTGCATACTGAAATGCCGCAACATTTTCTTCGAGTAGTTTTTTTTACTTAGCTAAATCTTCCTATTATTTTTGTCTCGATAATTGTATCCCTGGAATCTTATTTGTTAGTCCCAAGTTCTTCATTTCGAACTCCCTAGCCAACTGTGCCCTCAGGTCTTTAATACGATATTTGTTGGTGCCTGCTACCAACATGTCGTCAACATACAACAACAAAATAATGAAATCACTATCTCCAAATCTCATGTAGTAAGCACACGAATCTGAATTGAGTCTGTTGTACCCAAAGCTCATGATGAAAGAATCAAATCTCTTATACCAACATCTTGACACCTGTTTGAGACTGTATAGAGATTTGTTCAACCTGCAAACCTAGTTATCTTTTCCTTTTTCTTCAAAACCTTCTGGCTGAAGCATATAAGTCTCTTCTTCAAGTTCTCTATGAAGAAATGCAGTTTTCACATCTAACTGTTCCAAGTGTAAATCGAATGTAGCACACATCACCAGAACTACTTGAATTTTTGTTAGTCAATCCACAGGAGAAAATATTTCGTTAAAGTCAATGCCTTCTTTCTGAGCATATGCCTTCACCACCAGTTTCGCAATATACCTCTCCACTTGGTCATTGCCATCTCGTTTGATCTTGAGACCCATTTATGTTCAATGGCCTTCCTTCCTTGTGGTAGTTTCTCCATCTTCTGTCAGTAAGCAGTGCAACATTTTCCCCCATAATGTACTCTGAGTACCAAACTAGTTATCTTCTCTCCTGTGTTGATCATCGAACTTCTAGAGCACTAGACTTAACTTGTTCTTGTTCTTCATAAGCTAGTGTTGCTTCAAAAGAATCTATAACGTCTCGTTCATTCCCAACTTCGACTGTCGTAGTCTCTGATTTCTCTTTTCAGGTGAAATCATTTTCTTTCTCTTGCACCTTTACTTTTACAAATATTACATCTCTGTTGACTATCACCTTGTGGACAATAGGATCCCACAGGCGATACACCTTAATTCCATCAGCATATCCTAAGAAAATACGTTTTCTGGATTTTGGATCAAGTTTTGATGTTTCTTGGGTATTGTACATAACGTACACAGGACTTCCAAGTACATGTAACTGAGAATAATCGGCTGGTTTACCAGTCTACATTTTCATAAGCGTCTTTAGATCAATTGCGGTTGATGGCGATCGATTGATAACAAAATAGGCAGTTTTGATTACTTCTACCCAGAACGACTTGGCTAGCCTCGTAGTTCTCTCGCTCTGCCACTCCTTTTTATTGTGGAGTGTATGCCGCCATGAAGTCTTGTATACCTTCTTGTTGACAAAATTTATTAAATTCATCGCCAGTATATTCTCTTTCATTGTCAGTCCTCAAACACTTGATCCTTATTTAAGATTCAAGGTCCACCCGCGCTTTGAATATTT